GTGATGAATAAACGATTCACTGTATTATGCGGGAATAAATCCAGCAGATCATCATTCTTAGCATATGTGAAATTATGAGAGCGTTAAAATATGCAAACTCAGTCAACAATCAAAACTTTGTCTCCTTAAGGAATGCGTCCGATATAATAAACTCAGCTATCGCCTTGGTTTCACTGACGAACAATTATTCTGTTGTGTGAAAAGAAGAAAAACAACCTCAGTAAAAGTCCTCGACACCTAGTGGAATATTTGTTCGTCAAATAAGAGCCCAGTAGAAGTAATAACAGCGACTCGTAGTCATTCGCAGATAGAAACATTTCCCACGAAGAATAATGGTGGAGTAAAATAAGAAAATCTGATTGTTAAGGGACAACTACTTGTATAGGCTTCTGCATCAGAGGTTATGCGTTAACAGGTGCCAAGAGAATAGCAAAACAAGACAAATTAACACTTAAATAGCAATATGATTATTTTTCGGTAACAGGATTTCACCATGAGCTGATATCAGTTGGAGAACCATTGGATAACCTGCAGGGAGTACTGGAAAGATGTTTCATCCTAGTTTGGGACTCTTTAACAGTACGCAGCAACCGGTGTTCGAACCCAGGACCTTCTGGTTACAAGGTGAACTCTTATACCATTAAGCCACTGGGAACCGATCCAATGGCCAAGCTGTGAATTCTAACTTCTGCCAATTTACGATATGGCGCAACCGCTAACCAGTGTCTTCGGAGAGTATTTGTCCTCACACCCGACCTGCTGCACCCTATTATTAATTTTATTTACTGTATTAGGTAAGCCAATACTGGTATTATCATAGTACTATGTATGTTAAGTTAGCTATTCAACCTCTACATGGGATAGGGAGTTGGCGCGTCCTGGAAAGCATTTCCAACAGGCTACTGCAAACTTTTATCAACGGTTGCCTTCACTGGCTGTATACTGAAGATCAGACAGTCGGAACGGAATAAGCTGCAAAGAACACTGGGGGATGAACTAACCGAGAACATATTTTTCAACAAATATCCCAAACGTAAAAATGTGAAATTCAGAACCATTGCCATTACTTCCCCGTTTCTCAAGCTGATGGAAAAACTGGTACTTCTTAAAAGTGAACCCTCCCTTAAACATTTTGAAGACCCCAAACAATTTGCATATAGACAAGGTAGAAGCACTTTAGATGCTGCAGCCGTCCTACACGACAGTATCATCTCTTCATTGGATAAAGGTCCAAATACGCACGTTTCTCGACTTTACTTATGCCTGCTGACTCTGAACCTAGATGTCTCTTGCCAAATACGCTCTCTATGACACAAACTGAGTCCTAAGACACTAAGTGGTTGCATTCCCAATTCTCTAACAGAATGCAGTATACCGTATACGAAGGTAAATCCCCCTGCTGTAGTCACTGAAGCTAGTGTCCCCCAAGGTGCTGTACTCTCCCCACTTCTCTTTTCTTTCTTTCTTTCTTTCTTTCTACATGACCTACCATTTTCAAATGACATTAATTTTGTTAAATATGCTGACGACCTGAATGTATCTTTGCCTGTCAAATGTCAAAGTGACTGCTCCAAACTAACTGGCTTTTTATCAGAAGTCACCCAGTCGTCCAAGGAAAACGGTCTAAACTTAAATCCCTCTAAATGTCAAACAGTCAATTTCACCTTTAGGCATAAATCTGACCTAATCAAACTGGTGGTTAGCACTCACACGAGGTGTGCAGCATACGTGGCACTGAAATAGAAACCAAGTCGGAAATTATATATCTTGGCGTCATTCTATCTCCGCTGATCTCTCCTGGTCGTCTCATATCTTGATGATTTCTAAAAAAATGTTCCGTCTCACCTTCTACATCAAGAAGTTAAGAGACTCTGGAATAACCCAACTCAACCCTTACTCCTACGATTCGTTGACTCTTCCATCCTGCCTATAATTCTCTATTGTTCCCATTAGTTTTTCCAGGGCTGGCTACTGAAGAAATACTACATCTTATTACGTAGGATGTTAAAGGTTGTCAGCAGGGTGAGCTACGTGCCACATAACCAGCTTGTTAATATCCTGGTCGACAGGCACTTGGACTCATGTGAAAAATGGGCTAAATCCATTCTTTCCATCTAACTCCATCTAACCACCCTATTCATTCACAACTCTCCCCTTGTTGTATCTCATCAGGCCAGGCCAGACCAGACCAGAAGCCTATATAGAAAACTATATAGTCGCACTAGCAAGTACAAAAACTCAACCATACCCTACTTAGCTCGTGTTCTATGCAATAAAAAAAGCATTAGGCGTGATACCTATAACTTATTAATTAGTCAGTAGAACAACTGGATCTCGTCTTTCCAAGTCATATCACTTATAGGTACAACGTTTTCTTTCTTTCTTTTCCTTTCCTCTTTTTTGTTTTTATTATGTGCTGCTTTGTTTCTCTCTTCCTTACAAACTCTATTTGAAACATTCTACTTCGTTCTCTCAATCTCTGTATACTGGAATACTGTAGTGCAAAGATGAGAACTTCATTCTGTATCACAAGTACTGTTTTGGAATAAAGCAAATTATTATTGTTATTATTATCATCAAAATACAAAATGGAGATGGATCGGGGACACACGCACAAACTGAGGAAACCACTGAATGACATCGCATCCCTGGTCAGTTCTCGAATGGAACCCAACTGGGAGATCGTCCAAGGGGGAGTAGATGATGTTTATGGGCGATCATAGGGTCAGTTGAGGAGGACTACAGGGAACAGGGCGAAATCGAGAAATGCTGCTGAGACGCTATATTCCACTTGGGACCACTTGGCACTGGATAACGGGACTTAAACAGGCTGAAATGAGCGTCCTAGATTCCAATATCTGTTAGTCAGCATCAACCAATAGGAAACCAATACGCTAATTGAAAACACAGTTGTTGTTTTTTTAAAATATTTATTCTTTTATTTATTCAAATCAAACACTATTTAATGTCGGTTGGTATTGGTAACAGACATAGTTATTTTGTGTGCATGTGTGTGTATATATATGAGTGAACTGATCACCAGATCAAAAAATAATGGATAGAGATGAACAGGGGTAGGCAGGTAGGTAGACAGACAGAACGAGAGAGAGAGAGAGACGGTTTTAATTGAACAGGGACAACTATTCATTATCATTACTATCAAAATGAATGACAAAATATATAACACGGCGCCAAAACAGGGGATTTTTTACATCTGGACAGGGAAGTTGCATATTATATGATTATTAGTACTATTATTATTGTTATCGTTTTTGAATGTTGAAATCAAGGACATTCTTATTCGTCCGAAGCACAATTGTCTTCGTCAGTCAAAAGTCTACTCCCAACTTTTAGTTAATCAATGCTAAAACAAGTAAAAAATTGAGTGTGTTTCTCTTGGCAACAAATAGAAAGCGGTGATGATATTACTCAATATTCAAGCTAAAAATTTGACATATATGTATAATATATACGAATCAACAGTAAAAACAGAAAAACTTCGCCTAGAAATTAAAAAAGCAACAGAGAAAGCACCCAAAAAATGAAGACAGTAATAAGCACTTTTGTATATATGTATGTGTGTGTGTGTGTGTGTGCGGAAAGCAGAAGGTTAAGTAAGGCTTTGAAAAATGGCAAACCTCTAAAGACACAAATTTGAAAATAAACCTTATAATTGTGGGTAACAAAATACATACATACATACATATATAATATGTCTTTTCGCCATTAAGGAAATGCCATTCACAATACACAACACACTACTTTTATCATAACTTCCTTCATCAGTAGAGTCCTTCTTCTGTTTCCTCTGGAAGAGCGCAATTGATAAACGGAACAGAAAATGTTTGACTAACACTCATACACAGACGCATACACACACACACACATGAAAAACGCTGTTTTTAAGACCTGGAAACATAACTGAGCTAGTCAAAAATAAGCCAAAACATATATAGATAGATAAAGAGAGAGAGAGAGAGCGAGAAGCGGTAGATAATAGTACTATTTTGGTTCTTTTTTTAATAGGCACACAGTGGTAACAGGTTATCATTACCATACCATCATCATTATTACTATTACTACTATTATTGATTTTATTTCTCACAGGTGAACACACATGTTAAATACCTAAAAGACATACGTATAAATTCATGAAATTTGTGCAATATGTGCAAGTTGTTCTTTTTTTATTATTGTGTGTCTTCTGTCTGCCTGTTTGTCTTTCTATGGTATACAGTCTACATGTACGCGGAGTGTTGAAATATTACACCGTATGATGGAGTTACAATAAAACAGAGAAAGTTAATAAAAAAAAGACAAAGATCAGATTTCCAATGAACATGTATGTATAAAGCACTAATAAATGAAGAGAATAATTCGCATATTTAATTGCTCAATCAATTTATATCTATATATGTATATAAATTAACAATCATCGTAAATTGTGCTCTCAATTCTCTCCGTCTACTTGTCTCTACTTCTGTATTTATATCCAAGTTTGTATGTGTAGGTGTGTGTGCGTGTGTGCATGGGTGCGTGCGTGAGCGTGTCTTTTTATGTACTTGAATGACTTGTTCAACACGGAATAAAAGTTACGCGTAAAAATCGAAGCTGATTGACTCGCCAAAGCTAAAAGAGAAAGTTCAACGAATTTGAGAATATATGGAATGAAAATTTCAGTGGAATTCACGATTAGTATTTTTTTTTCAGAGAAGAAGGGATAAGCATTTGTTGGTGATTCATTCACCTTGTGTGGCATTTGTGTTGTTCTCTACATATATACCTCTCTCTCTCTCTCTCTCTCTACACACACACACACACTGAAAGCAATGTGTTAAAAGAATGATAGAAGAAAAAACTGTAGGCATTAATAATATTGTGTAGTTGAATAAAAAGTAGACACCAGACACATTCACAAAAAGGGTTTGACAAAACAAGAAAGAGAAAATGTCTGATGATAAAGTAGGATCTGTTTCTTGATGTGCTTTCTCTGCATCCGTCTATAATCGTCCATCTCTGTAATTATTATTGTAACCAGGAGCTAATGGTTCTTTCTCTGGTTGTGATATACCACGTGAATGATTGTTGTACGGGGAATGCGAGAATACTTGCTTTTCACTCTGCATACGACTCGATGGATTGTGTTCAATAACAGCACTGTTAAAAAAAAGAAAATTAAAACAAATAACACAGTCATGAAATAAGGCTTTCAATGATAGATCGATCTGTTAGCAGGCGGTATTCATGACTAATGCTCAAGTAAAAAATTAATTAAGTCCTTACAAGATTAGAAGAGTGAGGATAAAAGTAAGTGCATGAAAGTAGTTTCGCGCAAAGTATAACACATGCCGTGAAACAGATTATGAAATGCTGTGAACAATCGATAAAACACCATCATAACAACAAAACGTTACATTTCATACACATAATACTAAATCACATAAGACTGTGTAAAACACACCAACTGCGTGAGGAAATTTAAATTGCAATTGACCGACTCTGTCCTATCCCATGGAGGAGAGGGAAATGAGAGTGAGAGATTTGTCTAGTTGACTGCTTATATAGGTTTGGTCATGAGCTTACATAAATTGGAGAAGCATTGGAAACATAGAATTACAGGACTGCTCTTTCCGCCTAGTTTGGGACTCTCCAGCAGTACGCGCCTACCAAGGTTCTAACCCAGACGAATTCGTAGATGATTTACCCATTGGAAACCGATCCAGTGGCTCAAGAATTCCCATTTCTCATAATTTGATAGCGAGGGGTTGAATGGTCTACCTGCTCGCCTGGGTTCGAACCGTTATGATAACTGCGTACTACCGATGACTCCCAAATTAGGACAAAACATCTGTTTTGCACTCCTGTGTTTTACAATGGTCCTCTAACTTATCCTAGCTCGTGACCAAACCTGTAACCTGGAGATTTTTAAGTTAAATTGATGATTACTTTTGTATTCACCTTGAGAATTCCAAACCTGATGAATTATCGTCTTCACATACTACTGTATTATGTGGAAACCACTGGTAAATCAAGGTATATGTTACTTTTCAATTTGAGACTGGTCACAAATGTATACCGTTTGCTTCTTGTTGTCCTGATCTCGGTGCAACATTAACATATTTGTCTGAAGTGCTAAAAAGTTTCGAAATGATGAATGAGATCACTTTGAGAACCGCCTTTTCTCCGCTATTTGTCTAATTCATGATTAGAAGTTATGTGGAGTTGAAATTTCCAAATAAATGAACATAACTCACAGCCAATGTACACTTTGAACGGTAAATTCTTTGTATTAGGCTTTGTGGTGTGTGTCGCGTCTACCTGTAGAACAATTTTATTTACTTTAAACGTTTTGTTGTGTTGTGTTGTGTTGTGCACATAATGATGTGTATATTACTCATTATTATGACATTATAGTAAACAGTAAATGTGAAACGAATAAAAAAATACCAAGCAGACATAGACGTGCACCATACATGAACAGATACACACATGAATATAGATAAACAAGTGTGCAAGTGAGCACAAATATGAACAAAAATTCCAGACAATAAACGGAGACAAAAAGATAAAACACCGGAATAACTCAGAGATACTGAATAAAAAAATAACAACATCAAAACTGAATGATGAACTCTCAAGGAATATAATTTATAGGTTATTTAAATATGCATTAGTCTTCTTATAAAGTATTTTATGAACCATCTGTTCATTTATACTCATAGGTGTGCGCCCACGCGCACGCGCACGCACACATACACACACACCCACAGAGATCTGTACATAAATACTACGCAGTAGATACAGTGACTTACCATCTACTCAAAGTTCCAGCGATATATACATATATATATACACATAACAATAGGACACTACATCTTTAGCACGTATTGTCAGAAAATAAGGCATTTTCAAACACATTCAGTCAGTACCAAAATACACAGAGAAAGAAAGCAATTATTACACTGTGAAAAGTGGAACATGAAGCTTCTTATGTTTCATTTTGATTATGTGTAAGAGAGAATGTTCTCTGATGTATTTGGCACAGCTATTTAACGATAATATTAATAATAGAAATGACTAAACGTTGAGCAAATATGTGTTTAATATACACACATACACATACGCACGCAAACACACATACATGCATACATAGACACGAACATAAACAGACGCAAATTGAAGTCAGTTAGGCTTGTAACTCAAACAAGATGTTAGTCAGTTAGTTAAATGCCGGAAAGCCTTTTCTCTTAAGTCATTCCGATACAAAAATTATTCTGTAAATTCAATGAATCTACAGATAATTGTAATGTACTAGCAACATTAGTTTGCTAAAAATGGAAGAAGAATTTCTATTAACTGCACATCTGCTTCGTAAAACAATTCAGATAATGCAGACACGTGGTTGTAGCGAAATAAGACACCGTTGTACCGATAATGTTTCTTGGTGGGCAGACATTGGTTACTGATGGGCTGTGGATCGTTTCACATCTAAGTGTGTTCCCCTCCAAACCTAATGGTTTCTCTGATGTTTTAAATAACTACACATATTAGTTACCCTCAGCATCCATTTTCTCATGCTTCGACCTATTTTGAATGTTTCTGGTAAGCTGTAGTCTACCTCATCAACATAAAGAAGGTATATACAAGATTAACAGAAGTTACTCAGAGGACTTGTACATTACAAAAATCAGAAGTTCATTCCTCCATAATCCCTAGGAATATATGTCAGCAGTTGCACAAGTTAGTCATTTTTCAAGTATTGCTTTTGTGGGGATTTGATTAGTTGATTAAGAGGATTTCATCATGAGCTGACATCAATTAGAAAACCATTGGAAAACCACCTGAGAGTACTGGAGAGCTGTTTCTCTTGTCGCAGTTTGGGACTCTCCAGCAGTACTCACCCAACACCGGGTTTGGACCAAGGACCTTCTGGTTACAGTGCGAGCTCGAAAGGGAACATTGTGAATTGGTCACTTGGCAGAAGTTAGAATTCGTAGGCTATTGGAAAGAATCCCACTGGCTTAATGGTCTACGAGCTAGCTCGTCTTGTAACTGGAAGGCCCTGGCTTCGAACCCCTGTGATGGGTGCATACTATGGAAGAGTCCTAAACAAGGACAACGGAAACAGCTGTCCAGTACTCTCAGTTGGTTTTCCAATGGTTCTCTAACTGATGTTAGTCATTTTTGCCTTATTTCAGATATAAACAGCAACTATTGACATAAATTTCTGTCTAGTATGCAGTGTTTGTCTCAGATGAAATGAAGCCAATGAAAGATATCGCATACCTGGTGAAAGATGCCTGCACGTATTTTGAGTTTATCAACAAGTGAAGTAAGAAAATGAATTCACAATATGCAAGCTGATTATATATTGTGACCTTCACAACTTAAGTTTCCAGAAGAGACCGTGGTGAGATTTTGCCTCGAAATGTGTAATTTACAAATCGAGGAATTAATTTTAAACCCGATGTGTGGCCAGGCAGAATACAGTTGGTTTGAAATGATTCGGCCTCTGGCCTTAATCAAAACCTGTGTAAATTCCTCATCACTTCTGCATAACAAGCACAACGGGTTGATGTGATGAGTGGCGCTCGACTGCTCACATCAGTCAGTTAGTAGTGCATGGCAACTAGTGAAGTAAGGATTACGTATTCGTATAATTAGATGACAGTTTTAAAAGAAGGAGATCAAAGAAAAGAATGTACGTGCATACTATGAGAACAATCAACATGCACACAGTGAAACACTATAACGATAGACATATAATTTCATTGGAGTCTTATGAAGTTAGTGGTTATCGTTCTATTAGGCTTTATAACTGATTTGTACAATTCAAAGAGTGTAAAACCACAAAACGGATTTATGTGAACTGGCTGTGAACAAACAACAGACACCGATTTAATTACCAAATGAGAATGAAGGCACATGAGATCAATGGTAAATCTTTTAATATGCTTGAAACATGATATCACAGTCGGTGAAGTCCTCAAGAATTATTCTGTTTGTTGTTTCGCCTAGATTGGGACTCACCATCAGCATGCTCTTACTTGGTTTCGAACTCAGGACCTTCCGATTACAAGGCAAGCATACTGCTAACAAGTCCCAAACTAGGACGAAACAGCTGTTTGTCCAGTACTCCCTCGTTTTCAATGGTTCTCCAACTGATATCAATCGTGGTTCAAGCTAAAACAAATGTTGAAGTCATCATATTTTTACTAGTTTACAGGCTATAGAGCGAAAGTGTCCGTCATCCAATCTATTACATTGCTCTAAAATATAGTATAGCGCCGGTGGCACAGCGGTTGGGACGCTCGTCGACCATGCATATGGTCCGGGGTTCGACCCCCGGCCGATGCACTCCTTTACCTCGCTAAGCCAGTAATAAAGCTGGTAAAGAGGAAAGGTTGGGCTTGAGGTTAGCAACCCAATCCTGTAAAAATAAACACCACTGCTACAGAAACTTCAAGCCTCCGGCTTGGAGCCCAATGTTCCACTGGGAACGTGAAGGAATTAAAAAAATATAGTATGACTTTTTCTGACTTTAGAAATTAACTACTATTCAAAATGTCCAACTAATTTTATAGTAAATTTCAAGAGTAACCTTCAAGTAGACGTCAGCTCAACGTATAAAGTAACTAAACATAACTAATGAGTCCCGATAAATGTATTAAGTTACTCTCTTTCTTATGAAGCTATTTGCAACACCTATTGCAGTCATGATTCCCCTCCCCCTCCGACAGAATAAGGGGAAGTATGTTTGAGTTATTTCTTAAAAACACTTGAAATAATTAGTCTCAGTGTTTATTAGACGAAAAACAGTAAGTTGAACCATAGAAAATTGAGTAACCAGAGAATATATGTGTATATATAATACCAATATTTGCTTGAAAATAAACCTGAAAGACGGTATTACCATTCGGCATCACTTTACAAAGAAAACAGGGATATCCTGAACCGATGTGAAAAACCTAGAAGACCTGGATTTCGCGCGTGGATGATTTATGTTTGATGTCGCACACACAAAATCGAAGACCTACAAGCAAAGACCGACAAACTGGTCGAAGAAGCAGCCAGCGAAGACAGGACTCCAGGTGATGAACATAGACAAGATGGAGGTTATGAAAATAACCAACCACCACCAATAACAACAACAACAGCAACATCCAGCGTCAGTCATCATCAACACGAGGGATCATTCACTCACTTGTCTAAGGAGCATTGTTTCAACTACAGGAAGTCGGAACGGACGAGGATGTCAAATCGAGCGAGAATCGGGAAGGCGAGAAACACATCAACATCATCAACCTGAAACCAATCTGGAAATCTTCGTCACTCAGCCAGCATCAACAACAAAATTCGCTCGGATTTTCAATACAAACGTCAAGTCAGTCAGTTCTTCTATACGAAACGGATCAGAAACTTGGCGGACATATCACAAAGAATATTTCCAACAGGCTATTGCAGACCTTTATCAACTACTAACTGTCTTTGCTGGCTCTATACTGAAAATCAGATGGCCGGGTCGGGCCAGAAAGAATCACCAACGAGAAACTATGGGAACGAACAAAACAAGAACCAATCGCCAACCAACAAATATGCAGGAGAAAGTGGAAATGGACACTCGCTGAGAAGGCCGCCGCTCGGTGACATCGCGCGCGCGTCAGGTAATTGCTCGAGTGGAACCAGGCCGAAAGGGAAGCACGTGGCGAGTGGGACGTCAGTGCAAGGGTGACATGGAGGAGATCGTGTGGAGAGTTGAGGAGTTGAAACAGTATGGACTAACATGGATGCAGGTGCAATGTACAGCAGAAGACGGAAACAAGTGAAGACGTGCAGCTGAAGCCTTATGTTCCACTAGGAACCCAAGAGAACAATAATAATAATAGATCACTTTACAATGGAGGACTATTCGTTATCGCGATTCGCTAGGCATTCAAAGCCTAGTCATCAACCCATTTATCGCCATCCGCATGTTTAATGTTTAGGCAGCCCTCATTACTTGACTAGATTGTTTGTAGTTCCATTTTTATTTTCACTGGAGTGTCTTGCTACCTCACAGTCTAGTTTAGAAAATAACAATTGCCTCGTTTAGACGTTGGCGTCAGTCTGTGTACTGCCTTTAGTGTTACTTCATAAAAGATACTTGCCAAAGAAAGCGACTAAACTACTACCATATTCCCGCGATAATGCTATTGACTAACCGCTTAGTTCTCATACTACCTCGAAGGGGAACAAAACTATCTATTGGCGTTGGCAATATTACCCATGTTAGTGTCAAATGAACTAGGTGTTTTAATGACACTCGACACTGAACTGTCAGTAGAATCTGACCAATGATATTCTTAACCATTGTAAGGCTTATTTTCAAATTTTCGGGTGTAGTGTTTTTGTTATTAGTGTACCGGGAATAAGTATTGACAATGTGAAGCATCACACACACACACACACAACGAAATAAGCACTTAGTATTCACTCAATACAGCCTACTCAAGAAACGCATACATGTATATATGATCCATATGTAAGGCTATAATATCAGCATTCTCTATCATATTCTCATCGTTGCACATAGATAAAGTGAAATTTCAATTGCACAGAGTAGCATGTATTAAATTAACTGAATGACACTTATAATAACATTTCTGGTGCTTACATTTACCGCATACTGTTCATTTACCTCTTATAGATGAAGTGAGAAACACGTGAAAATTTCTATGTGACATATATATATATATATATATATATATATGTATATATATATATATATATATATATATATATAAACGAACTAGATGCTCATTATCGTTTTATAGTTTTCAGCCTATTTAAAAACCACCAATTCATTGTATGCTGTACATGCGTATACTGATTTAAGCCAGTTGATCGTAACTGCTCTGAATAGATACATTGGTAGGACATCTCTAACATTCAACAGCTATGTGACAAAGCCTCGTGTCAGGTGGTCCACAATGGAAAACTCAAAGAGGCATTCGAAGTGCACACAGAAGTAAGACAAGGCTGGCTGTCCATTGTCACCAACGATCATGATATTCCTGATTCTAGTGAGCTGGATCATGAAAAAGACTGTGAGTGGGGAGCGAGGAGTCAGGAATACGCTGCACTGACCGATGAGAATTCTCTAGAAAACATGGATTTCGCGTGTGGATGAGTTGTGCTAAATATCACACAAACTCGAAGACTTGCAGACAGGCGAAAACTGGCAGAAGAGGCTGGCTGGCTGGCTGGCAGCGAACACCGGAGTCCAGGAGAAGAGAGAGAGAGAAGACGGAGATGATGAAGATAACCAACCGACAAACCGACAACAACCAGCACCAATCACCACCAACGAGAGAGATTTAACACAGGTCACACCTCCTTCACTTATCTGGCTCGGAAGCACGTATTAAACCGCAGACAGTCAGAACAGAAGAAGATATCAAAGCCAGCCAAACAGCCAAAAACGGAAAGGTAAGTTTGTAAATCTTCTGCACTCTGCCACAGCATAAAGAAAAAAGTTTGGACTTTCAACACCAATATCAGGTCAGTTCTTCTATTTGGATGAGCACATAATAACAATGAGCACAAACTATGTGCTCGAACCGTCATTAGTTCATATTTCTGTATAACACTGTGTGACTTATCAAAATAAAATCTTATCTTTAATGGAGTGTGTGCAGGTGTGTTAAAATTGTTTCTGTAGATATGCTTAATAATCTCTTTGGCCTGTAGTCAGCTGAGCTGATGAGACGCCAACGAAGTTAGCAACGATAGTACCTCCTTCACCTACCTGGGAAGCATCGTCTCAACTACAGGCGGAACTGACGAGGACATCAAAGCCAGAATCGGTAAAGCAAGACAAGCTTTCATTACTCTCAAATCTGTGTGGAGGTCAACAGCACTCAGCATCAAAAATAAGATCCGGATTTTCAACTCCAATGTGAATCCAGTCAGTGCTACTCACCATACGGATCAGAGACTTGGCCAGCGCGTCATAAAGAGCATCTCAAACAAACTTCAAACCTTCATTAACAGCTGTCTCCGCTCAATACTCAAGATCAGATGGCCAGAAAAGATCAGCAACAGGGATCTCTGGGAGCGAACCAATCAGGAACCGATTGTGAAACAAATAGGCAGAAAGAAATGGAGATGGATTGGCCAAACGCTGAGGAAACCATCAAGTGACATCACTAGACAAGCCATTGCTCGAGTGGAACCCGAAAGGGAAGCGGCGAGTTGGTCGTCCAAGGGTGACTTGGAGGAGGTCATGCGAGGAGGAGATGAAAGAATGTGGACAGACCTGGAGCAGGATGAAAAAGTTGTCAGGAAACCGAAGGCAATGGAGGTGCGCAGCTGAAGCCCTATGTTCCTCTAGGAACTAAAGGATACAATAATAATAATAATTCTGCATGAACCACTGTTGTTCTTGTTTTACTGAAATTCAGATTCAGAATGATCGACTCACTACTCATCTATATTTCTCCTATCTGTTTGAGTTTATTTAAGACGAAAACTGCCTCTTGTTTCTAAAGTCTTTTATGGAAGTTCAGAGGTAATAAAGGAAGTTTGGCAAACAAATATTTCCGAATGAACTTCATGAGAGATTAATCAACACACTGGTATAAAGACTCCTAGTTCAATCAGTTGGTGGATAAGTGAATTCCCGTCTACCGGCCAAAAGATGAGCACCCAAGTAATAAATACCATCACATCATAATATATAGGTAACTTATAGTCTACACCACCAATCTGTACAGAGTACTGTAGAGGTGTGCACATACATACACTTCGCATAAAAATAGTAATTTACTTCTACTTACCAGTATGAATTAGTTTTATGTGAAACTCCCAGATTTCTTTCTTGTTGTTTTCTACGCTGTGAACGTTTACGCACAGAATAAGCAATGAGTGCAATGATGACAACGAGGACAACAGCTATAATAGCGACTATAACAGTTATCATTTCAGTTGATAAACCACCAGCTGTACTCAACACCTGCTCATTCTGACCACGTGTATTGACTGACTTCAGATCTTTTCCAGACGATACATCATCTATGTTATTAATTTTCCCTGGATAATTCTGTCCCGTAGGATTGTTGTAATTATCAATGCCAGCATGATTTTCATTGTTATTTCCTGTGTAGTCGTCTCCAGACAATCCTCCTGAATTACTCAACTCCTCTGAACAGATATCTTCAACAGCTAATCCAGATAATTCACGTGATTTTAAATTTTCAGGCGTATGGCAACGGAATTCATAAATTTTGGCTCTAATGAAATCACAAGAGAGAGAGAGAGAGAAAGAAGAAGAAAACAGACGAAAAATCAATAAACCGATATTTCAAATTCTGTGACTAAACAGCATTTGCACCGTCAAGATCTGTCAATTTTCGCTTGCAAAAAGTGAATTGCCCCGGTAACGTGATATAGGACCGCACCTACTTTTTATGTATACGAATTAGCCTGGTCGTTTAGAGACCTTTATCGAAACGCTTAAGTTGTAGAGATAATCCTTGAAAATCAAACATTGCTAAGAATTCAGGAAATTTTATTCAAGCAAATATCATTGTCAAGAGCTACAGAACATCAAGAAGAAGTTTGTACTGCTAGATGGTTGGAAGCAATAGGCCACAGATAGCACAGCCTCACGTAAGTTTCGCGTTAGTTGGCATTCAACAGTCACCAAAGCGCATACATGCAATCTTCAAGGATCTCATGTCCTCATGTTCTGAGATTTGAATCCGCGTCACCCAGTGATACCAGCAGTCAGAGACGCTACAACTGAGCTATTTGGGCTCGCGACTTACCTACTGTAGGAATGTAATGGATATTTTTGTTTGGCTGGACACTAGTTACTAACTGGTGTGCAATCAAAGAAGTGTGCACTTGCACAAGTAATCTGTATATCGGTTGGTTAGAGGATTTTATCATGAGCTGGTATCGGTTAGAGAAGCATTGTCACCCTAAGAGTACTGGACAGATGTTTCGTCTTAGTTTGAGACTCTTCATCAGTACGTACTCACCGGGGTTCGAATCCAGAACCTTCCAATTACATTCTACAAGCCATCTTTGTAACCAGAAGGTTCTAGGTTCGAACCCTAGTGGTGGCTGTTGAACAGCCCCAAAGTAAGACGCAACAACTGTTCAGTACTCCCAGGCTTTCAGGTGGTTCTCTAACTGATATCAGCTCATGATGTACACTAAATTTACTTGGTGAGAAAAAATCACAAGGTCTCAACGGGATACAGTTCTAGTCATCGCTTCATAGAATAAACATTTGGTTTACATCAATAGTAAGTTTAATAGGGCTTTATATTTGAAATGCATGACTGCTGGTCAAGACTGTTAAGATTGTAATATTCAATTTCATAATTAAAGGTTATCTCTGCTTTAAGTTCATATATATGCTGAGATTTAGAAAAGCACTATGAGTCTCATTAGAATACCAGATACATAAATATACGATGACCAATTAAATTATACAACCGGTCACATGAGTCATCCAGATACCGGTAATTATTAAAAGTCAAATGACAAATAGAAATTCACCTTCCTATGACCACCTAACTTAAGCACTTCCTTTCGCCTTTCAAATACAATAGACTGATGTAAAAAAAGATGGTTACTGAATAAAGAATTTTCTTTTCAATAACTTCATCGTTAGGTACTACAGTTACGTGTAACGTAATAGTGAATGAATTAGTCCCTAGCCATTTCTAATTGTATCTACCAATTGAATTGGGTTTCTGGTGGATGGAGTTAAATTGGCCACTGGACTAGGAACTTGAGTCTTCGTGCTTGCTCGAGGACATCTACCAGTGTCATTAAGTAAAGGTATAGTGAGAAGCATCAATAGCTCCATATTAGAACACCTAGTCGAAACTGGCTACCAAGCCAATATTCAGGAATCCTTCTCCATCATCTATCAACTAGCATACAAACTGCCAAAACATTCAGGTACCACGTACTCAAAAATAGCTGAGGCTATCACCAGTCTCCTGAAACAACCGGTGCTCTGTGTGCAGAAGAAGCAAGTCTAACCAGCCACTCCTACTGCCCTCACCGGCCTTCAGTGGAGACCATAAATTCATCAATTTGAATTATTATTTCTCCTCATTTTTTTCTGATATTCAGTGTGTATTGTTATGTTGATGCTACTGAACTGTAATCCATTGATATTATTATTGAATTGGTGTTATTTAAACATTAATGTTGCATTTAACCATCTAATACCAACAATTTAGAGTGCACTGTAGTGAAGAGCCACCCAGAATGACGGCTACATTGTAAACTTCACTGAGAGAATTCACTCTGCACCAAAATATGAACTAGACACACTACACTAGTTACCAACTACTGTCCAATCAAACAAAAATATCCATTACAGTCCTACATGGGTCAATCGCCAGCCCGAATAGCTCAGTGGTAACGTCTCCGACTGCTGGTAACACTGGGTGACGCAGGTGCGAATCCCAGAACATGAGGACATGAAGATCGCAGATACGCGCCTTGGTGACTGTTGAGTGCTAACAAGCGCGAAACTTACGTGAGGCTGTGCTATCTGTGGCCTATTGCCTCCAACCACCTAAACAGTAATGTTGTTAGTAACACTAATTCATTCACTGTTATGCATATATAACTGTAGAACCAGATGATGAAATTATCGACAAGAATATATTCTTCGTTCAATAATGATTCTTCTGAAGATTTTAATGCCCAATTTCAATCATTTGAAATTTAAAAATGTAATAATGACTGTAAGACAAGTTATTAAAAGGTGTCAAAGCTTAAATCATGCATGTCTAAGGATAAGGTATACACGACAAACAAGAATAGATCCAGACTAAATAAACTTTAAGAAATTGATCACATCCACTGATTTGTTCACTGCTAAACCATTCGGACATGCTCTATTCGCACTGAACAGGATATAACTCCATTATAAACTCCATTATACTCTACTACAGTGCCCAAAGTGCTGCCCCCTTAGGTGCTGTACTCTCCCCACTTCTCTTTTCATTCTTTCTTTCGACATGACTTACCATCTTCAAATGACATTAATTTTGTCAAATATGCTGATGACCCGACTGTATCTTTGCCTGTCAAATGTCAAAGTGACTGCACTAAACTAAACGGCTTTTTATCAGAAGTCACCCAGTCGTCCAAGGAAAACGGTCTAACCTTAAATTTCGTTAACTATTAACCCATTGACACTGTTTAATTATTGTTAACAAACTTATCGCCACTTGATTGGCAAACTGTTGTATTGTAATTAAAATGCTATATATATTAGAGTAGAGCCAAATATGAGGATCTAATCGAAAAGTAAATATTTCTTCGCTCAATCTTTCTGTTTTATAAATGCCAAACAGTCAATGTCACCTTTAGGCATAAATCTGACCTAATCAAACTGGTGGTTAGCACTCACACGAGGTGTGCAACATACGTGGCACTGAAATAGAAACCAAGTCGGAAATTATATATCTTGGCGTCATTCTATCTCCGCTGATCTCTCCTGGTCGTCTCATATCTTGATGATTTCTAAAAAAATGTTCCGTCTCACCTTCTACACCAAGAAGTTAAGAGACTCTGGAATAACCCAACTCAACCCTTACTCCTACGATTCGTTGACTCTTCCATCCTGCCTATAATTCTCTATTGTTCCCATTAGTTTCTCCAGGGCTGGCTACTGAAGAAATACTATATCTTATTACGTAGGATGTTGAAGGTTGTCAGCAGGGTAAGCTACGTGCCACATAACCAGCTTGTTAATATCCTGGTCGACAGGCACTTGGACTCACGTGAAAAATGGGCTAAATCCATTCTGTCCATCTAACTCCATCTAACCACCCTCTTCATTCACAACTCTCCCCTTGTTGCATCTCATCAGGCCAGGCCAGACCAGACCAGAAGCCTATATAGAAAACTATATAGTCTCACTAGCAAGTACAAAAACTCAACCATACCCTACTTAGCTCGTGTTCTATGCGATAAAGAAAGCATTAAGCGTGATACCTATAACTTATTAATTAGTCAGTAGAACAACTGGATCTCGTCTTTCCAAGTCATATCACTTATAGGTACAACGTTTTCTTTCTTTCTTTTCCTTTCCTCTTTTTTGTTTTTATTATGTGCTGCTTTGTTTCTTTCTTCCTTACAAACTCTATTTGAAACATTCTTCCTCGTTCTCTCAATCTCTGTATATCTCGACCATTTTGTTACCGCTTACGCCAGTAAATATGCTAGTATCTACTATTCTAACACCTTCAAACACTCTGTTTAATTTTGGCTTTGCTACAGACATGCTAATATGTTGTTGTCATAATGAACTGAGACTATCCATAATCTATGTGGAATTTTATTTATTTATTGTTAATGTACTGACTGGGTGGAATACTGTAGTGCAAAGATGAGAACTTCATTCTGTATCACAAGTACTGTTTTGGAATAAAGCAAATTATTATTACTAAAAAAAGGTTTGTGCTTATATGAATGGGATATATTTTACTTATCTATATATATCTGGTTGTGCACTGGTGGCATAGCGGTTAGAACGCTCGCCGAACATGCATATGGTCCGGGGTTCGATCATCGGCCGGCGCACTCCTTTACTTCACTTAGCCAGAAATAATACTGGTAGAGAGGAAAGGCTGGGCATGAGACTTGCTAGCAACTCCATCCTGTAAAAATAAACACTGCTACTGAAACTTCAAGCATCTAGCTTAAAACCCTATGTTCCACTGGGGAACGTGAAGGAATAAAAAATATGTATCTGGTGAAATTATACTATTTTGGGCAAAGAGCTCAACAATGAAGCAACATACTTTATCAGTCAGCTGATCTAAAAATAAAGATTATTTAGCAGTTTTAGTAGCAATACAAAAATAAAGTGATAAGCTACTCTTGTGAAGCAGAAAAGGGGATTCTAGAGAAACGTGAAGGAGAAAGAGAGTTTAGTTTGCCCTAGAACAGGATACAGCATTTTTCGCCAGCTTAAATTTGTACGTCTTCGTTGGAGTTTTTAATTTATAGTTCAACGTTTCTTTAGTTCTTTACTGTGCTAGGTAAGTTCAGTCTTTAGTGAGTTATTGTGAATACTTATAATTCATAAAGTACCCGTGTTATTCATTTTTGGGCGAACAAGTTAGTTCGCGAACACAAACAGAAGAGTAGATGTCCAGCTAGTTGTACTCCACTAATCAGCGTGATTTATCTGTTAGATTTTGCGTCTTACTATTTCGAAGTCCAGGGAATTGTTAATAGGCTACCG